GGGGGGGGGGGCGGGGGGCAAACCCGGCACCCGCTCGTCTGCCCCCGCTGCGGAGGGCTCCTGGGTGCTCTGGTACCCCCCAGGGACACGATGCCCCTTGTCATGCGGGGTGGGTGTGCCATGGAGCAGGGTGTCCCCAGGGGACAGCAAACAGCCCCATGGGGGGGGTGTCCATTGTGGGGGTGCACGGGGGGGTCTGGGCTTACCTTATGTTTGGGACATTTCAGAGAGAAGCTCTCTTCGGTTAATAAGCAACCTGCGAGGAGAGGAGAAGCCATGTCAGGTCCCCACGCAGCAGGACAGCTGTCCCCGAGTGGTGGGGACGCAGTGTCCTCCCTGGCCCATGGCCTCCCGTGCAGGACGGGTTCAGCTGAGGTCGCCCAAACTCGTGACGCCAGCCAGCACTGCCGGTGCAGAGCCGGGGGGAATCGCCATCCCGGCAAGCAGGGAGCCGCGAGCCCCTGCCACTGACCCGGGTAGCCAGGGCTGAGGGTGCCAGGGGACCTCACGCTCACCTGTGTCAACGGCACATGCGTAGTGGTAGGTGTGGGGACACCCCTTCTGGCAGCAGCCCACGGTGGCTCCCGCTTGCTGGCAGCTCGAGCACTTCTTTAAACACAGACCCAGGAATTCACAGCAGGGAAGGAGAGATGTGGAGAGACAGAGAGACCCCGTCAGAGCCCAGCGCAGGAGCAGAGCACCCTGATGGCTCCGGCGGCGAGGACATCGTGCCGGCATCCCTGTGCCCCTCCAGCCCCATGCTGCCTCCCCCCATGACCGTCATGCCAGGTACCATCCTTCCTCCCGTGCCAGCACACCGCGGGCAACACTGTGCCTCTTGCTCAACTGTCTGCAGCCACGCAGGAGGTCTCTCCCCGCCGTAGCGCTCCCCAGGATGGCACTGAGCCTGCAGCCATCCTCCATGAGGCAGGAGGTGTGGAGGTGAAAGGACATGACCAGGGCCATGCCATGGCTCAGTGGCAGTGGTGGTGGGGTGACTGAGGTGCCCCCCGTCTCCTGCCCCGTCCCCAGTGGGTGCTGCAGGGAGGGGAGCACCCAGCCCCACAGCGTGGGCAGGGAGAGGGCAGCAGCCTCCAGGCAGCCATTCTGCGAGCATGTCTGCCCCAAACCTGGTACCGGTGGGCTTGCTGGAGACCCCCTGCCCAGCCTCTGCTGGGTGGCTGTGCCTTCCCTCTCCCCAGCACAAAAATCTCACGTCCCCTTGGTGGTCTCCCAGCGGCACCCTCCCTATTTTTCCCACTTGAAGTGTCCGTGCTCCTCTCACTCTGGAAGAGGAGCAGGGTAGGGCCATTCCCTCCCTCCAGCTCTGCTGCCCATCATTGTGGCATCAGGCCACATCACGACCATTTTCATCTCCCATCCTGCCTTCACCAGGCTGCGTTTGACCACCTCAGAGCCACCACCCCACGCAACACAGGGCTGGGCCGGGCAATGTGACCCACCGGGCTCAGCATCCTCACAGTCCCTGGGGAGAGGGGGGGCCCTGCTGCCCTCCCAAAACATAACATAGATATGCTTCTACACCTAAAAGGGGGGGGGTTAGGTGCTATCAGAGATGTGGCAGCACAAATCTCGCGGGAAGTCAGAGGGGTTCATGGCGCCTGAACGCCCGCCCCGCTCTCCCAGGGCGACTCGTCGGGGCCAACCCTATTAATTTTCATCCCGGCTGGCGGTGAGCCGCGGGAACGGCTCCAGGAGAAGGAAGCCGGTGGGAGATGCCGCCTCGGGGTGCGGTGCCGTGCAGGCGGCCGAGCTCTTACCAGGTCGGCAGCCGCTTTGACAGCTTCCTGCAGCCCGTAGAGCTTCCCCGCCACCAGGAAAACCCCAGCGGTCCATACGGCACAGGCCTCGTGCAGCCAGTGCTCCTGCGTGTCACCCGCCGGCTCCTGCGGCGGGGACTCAGCCTTGTGACATTCGTGCCGCCGGGGCTTTTCGGCCGCTTCCTCGCCCTCTGTCCTCTCGTCACAGCAGTAGCAGCTCTGCAGCCTACGAAACATGCCCCGCGGGCTGGAGCGCAGCGCGCTCTGCTTGGCCGCCTCGGCAGCACCCTCCGGCCGCGCCGCCTTGC